CGCGTCGTCATAGACCCGAGGGGTCATCGCGCGGCATCGCGTCGTCATAGACCCGAGGGGTCATCGCGCAGTTTTTAATAAAAAAAATTTAAATAAATAAATAAAAATAATAATAATTATCGTTCGTTCAGCGCCGATCTAGTCATCAAGATGAACGATCTGGAGGAGCAGGAGAATCGCAATCGGAAACGGCAGTCGCTGAAGGCGGCCGTCTTCTCTGCGATCTTCCTGTGGAGTCTCGTCACTCTCTGCATCACCCAGCTGCGTCTGCTGTTCTTCATCGGAGCCCTAGAACAGATCCTCATGAAAGTGTCGGGCGGAGACAGAGAGCAAGGTGCGTGTGTGTCTGTACGTGTCTATACGCTGGTGGTGGGGCAGGGGGTGTGTGGTGGTGGGGCAGGGGGTGTGTGGTGGTGGGGCAGGGGGTGTGTGGTGGTGGGGCAGGAGGTGTGTGGTGGTGGGGCAGGGGGTGTGTGGTGGTGGGGCAGTGGGTGTGTGGTACGTGGTGGGGCAGGGGGTGTGTGGTGGTGGGGTGTGTGGTGGTGGGGCAGGGGGTGTGTGGTGGTGGGGCAGGGGGTGTAAGAGAGGCCAGCTAGGTATAGGCACAAGAAGCATGACTGTGACGAAATTTGTGGATTGTGAAACTTGGCTTTTAGGTATATGACCGATTGAGACACATGCTTTGAGAACGGAAAAGGGAGTAGATGAGAAGAAAGAAAGTAGAAAAATTCTTGAATAGAATGTGTTTTCTCTTTAGAAACGTGTCTGAGCGCTGTCATACCACCGCAGAACTGAACTTGCGTTTTTTGACTTTGCAGTCGAGTTGTACACGTACTTCTTTGGAATGATGCAGCTCGGATGTTTCATTGCTGCTCCACTGATTGGTATTCTCATGGACTGGAAGACAAAGGAGAAGTTTGTCGAGCGCAATATCGAAGCCAATAAGGAAGGTGAGGTCCTGTTTTGAATGATATACGACCTGGTACCGTATAGTCGATGTTTCTTTTCTCTGAAAGTCTGTGTTGTAGACTGATTGTTGAAGTCTGTGTTGATACGGCCAACTCGGTCATGCGACATTTCTTCCAATTGTCGCAGAATACGGTAACGATTGCGATCGCTATTGGATATAATGTTACATACGTGCCACAAATTACGAGTGAGTGTAGGAAATATTTTCGTTTCAAAATCGCATTTGTTTTCAAAGCATGTTGATGGTTTGGGCTCTCTCTGACTGTGCATATTTCTTCAACAGGGAACGACACTGAGCGAAGTTCATTCAGTTCTACTCGATCCACCGAATCGTGTCGTTCGGTGAAGATCGACGTGAAGGTCCGGCAACTACGTAACGCGATGTACGCCTTCTTCATCACAAACAGCATTACGATGATATTTGGCAGCATCGTCCTGGTTCCCGACTTACCTTTGCAGGTACGTATGATTAGCACGGCTCAATTTGCGCAAGTTTGCTGGTCGATTCATACGAAAACATTAGGTTTTGGCATCATTTTCATCTCAAATACTTGTCCTGTCTTGGTATTAGTAGTAGCAGTTTCCTACCCAGATATAGCTTTTCTGCGCCAACCTTCATCGAACACAAATAGTTTTTGCTGAGTCATCGTGGGTCCCACCTATATATACCCAGCAAAATCTGCCCAGTTACTCGAGTCAAAGAAGTCGGCATCGTGCGATGTAAACACTATAAATCTCCGTTGTGCTCACTGAACTAGTGCTATAAAAGGATTTATGCCGTGCAGTGGGGCAGAAAAAACGTGTATATGGCTACATCCTACTTGACGTCGATACTAGCGACCGAGAGAGCAAATATCTTTTGCGGAGATCCGCAATCCAAGGCTTTACTGGGATCAAGTAATGTATTCGTGTATCTGAGGAAATTTGCGAGGATGTTTCGGTCAACGGCCTACGAGTCGAAGTTAATGTTAAGACTAATGTTAAGACTAATTTTGTTTCTGACAACGGGCCCCAAGGCTTTACAGCCCAGCATTCTAAACCTGAGCCTCACAGAACTCAGTACCGGCCCCCCTTCAGAGGTTCCCATGAGAGAGTCTCCCTCGCTTCATCGTTACAATTCAAGCACAGCAGCCAGGTTCTACCACACTACAAACCCAGATTACAAACCCAGATTACAAACCCTCTCGAGCAGGGTATTAGCCAGGAATGAGTATTGTGGGAGTGCAGAAAAAATATTTGGGAGTGCAATTTTTTTGTATGTGTGTCTCAGCCGTAATATTTTAGGCCGTGCTACACATTTTTGCCCGTGCAGTTTCAAAACTGACCGTGCAAATCACGGCTGCACGGCTCGCTGTCTAATACATTGCTTTCGAGCCTCACAGAACAGAACAGCCTCACAGAACTCATTACGAGACCCTCGCTTCATCGCTGCAGGTCGTCGCGTTCCTGTGCCACACGATCATCCGCGGCTTCGTGCACTCGGCCGTCGGCGGACTCTACGCGATCGCCTTCCACTTCAAGCACTACGGCAGCCTCGTGGGCCTCGAGTCGCTTGCCACGGCCCTCTTCAGCCTCCTACAGTACCCCCTCTTCATCCTCGTCGAGGGCCAACTGAAACACGACCCGTTCTGGGTGAGTCGACCTCGGGATGACCCCACAGGTCAACGACAACACAAGACTGCGCGTAACGTTGATTATATTTCGATTAGGTACCCAGTGAAGCGATACGTCGAGACGTAACAATGGCACGCGAAGAAAGCGGTGATACAATTGACGACAATGGCGTAGCCAGGAATTTTGATTGGGGGGGTCCTCGAGCAAATAACAAGGTGGCTGAAACTTTGTGGTCAAAAATTTTTTTTTTTAGTTAAATGTAAAAATAGTGCTTTATAATCAATTGATTTTATTTTGATTGGGGAGGTCCTAGGGCCCCCAGTACCCCCCCCTGGCTACGCGCTTGATTGACGAGAATATTCTGTTTGATATCGATTCTGGACTTAGGAAAAGCTACGTATAATCACCAACACTGTGAATGCACACATGAGTAACAGCATTTCGTAGTCGGCACTCGATACTCAAAATACTATTAACATAATATCTACTATATTCACGTACATCTATCATGACCTAAAAATCAAGTTTATATCTCAGTTAGATCCATAATAAGTTAATATAATTACTTACAACGACGAAATCTTCCGTTGCAATTTTATGCTTACTTTGAGGTATACAGTTCCTTGCCCTCATCTTGAAAGTGTAACACATCTGGCGACGACAGACGCGACCCAATCTTGTCGACGTGCGAGTAGAAATTTTTACCAGTGACCTTGTGCTGGAGCTGCAGAGTTTTCGTGTGTTTGTTAATTTTTTGGTCCTGCGGTTCTGGAATCCCTTTCTCTGGAATAAAAAAACGCGTAAAGTTGCTATGATTAGCCATTACTCTCGCTATAATCCTTCCTTAACGTGCACCCTCTCTCTCCTACATGCCATCCCTCGACCGTCACACTATCATGTCTCCCCTTACCCTTCTTTCTCTCCACTCTCAAGGGGAAAGAGAAAGTGAGACTCCCCCTAAGTCCCATCTGATCCCAAATATACAAGTATGCTAAGCGACAGCTAGACATTTTTTTTCCATCTCAATGTAACTAGAAAGTATCTTTATATCTTACTTTACCTACGCACGAAATTGCTACGCACCAAGGCGCCTGAACCTGAGAATAGAAACTACGTTTAGGCACGTTACCTGGCACGTCTAGGAAACAGCTGAGCATCGCCAGTAGGCTGCCACCT